CACTTTCCAGTGTTCCGTTATCTAGGTGTTGGTACTTACTTCATAATGATCAAAAGGTCACTTTGAAACACAGGTGATAGGAGCACTTCTCAGGGACCATGCATGCGGGCAACATAATTTATTTATCTTGCAGGGAGCTGTTCTCATGCCGTGATGCATTGGAAGTAGAACTTTGCGCATGTATGGAGAGTCTCTCAGTTGCTATCCAACGTACTGATCTGCCAATCTATAATCTATAATACTTAAATAGTTGATCCTCACTACGTCTATTTCTCTCAACATGAAACCCATCCACCTCACCAAGTGTGTCACGTTAGCATCCACTAACAATATTTTTCAACCCATGCAAACATTATTTCATTATCACTAATTCTCTCAACATGCAAGCATCCCACCTCATAATACACTACAATATTTTCAGCCCATGCAAACCATACCAATATGTTTATTTTTGTCACTGGACATATGTAGTAGAATAGATAATTATCTTTTAATTTAGATCTTTTCCTTCATATATAAGTCATTTGTAATTAATTTTTATATTCCCGCAGCAACGCGCGGGGAAATTCCCTAGTTCATATTGAGATGGATTCCCTACTGGCAGTGAAGTTGGTCAGTGGTGAATGCATGGATAGGTCGTTTTTTACTTCTTTGATTGAAGAAATCAAGCATCTAAGGTCTCTTCGTATTACGACAATATCAGATGTTCCTCGTGATCAGAATCGGGTCAGCGATTGCTTAGCAAAATTTGCAAGAGTCAAGGTATAACACTAGTCTGGTTGGGATCTGGTATCCCCGAAGTAGTTGATTTATGTAAGAACGACCAAAGACAAACGCCGACCGGATCTCACGAGATCCATCCGAGACAAACCTTCACATGCCTTCTGACGATGCTTGAAACATCATCGGGACGGGGCTAGGTGGGGAGGATCGTATTCCATCTGCAAGAAGCCGCCACCACCTCATTTTCTTGAGCAGGGCAAAAACGTTAACAAAACTCAGAAAAGCATCTAAAACAGAGCCCTCCCGCCGGCAAGGGCTGGGATCCACCGTGTCTAGGAGGCGAAGCGGACCGGCGGCGCCGGCGAGAGACAAGGAAACCCTAGATGATAGTTCGCACGAGGGCAGAAGCAAAGGGTACGAGGGAATCGGAAAGGAAAACCCATGCAATGATGTGTTTGAATCTGAAATTTTGGCAACCAGAGAAAGGGTTAATGCTAGCCTTGCAAAGGAGTAGATCCCAAGTTCGGACTGCTGTGTGGCTTGGGTCAGGTCCGAAACAATTTTGGAAAAAGGAAACTATTCTAACGCAACCTGAGCAAAGGCAAGTTTCTGCGTACAATTTACAAGCTGATTCATGGCACATGAAAATCGATTCCTGCGGAGTGGGAAAAAAACAAAAGAGGTCGCCCACCGTGGGGCTCGAACCCACGACCACAAGGTTAAGAGCCTTGCGCTCTACCGACTGAGCTAGACGGGCTGTCTTGATTTTGTTTTGACTTCTAAGTAACTCTTCCATGTAAGACGCATAGAAGGTGTCACTACATCCTACTCCCCCTAGCAAAAAAGAAGCAAACACTGATATAAAATGACAAAAATAGTGAAGTACAGATTTATCTCTATATATGAATTAAAAAAAATTATTTCTATATTGTACACTTAGTAGGGGTGTGCACGTATTGTTAGGTCCTCATTTTAACCAACCAAATGTGCCACATGCCACCAAAATCATGATGGGAACACAGTCGCAATAGAAACACTGATTTAGCATTCAGAAACAACGACAGGACAGCTCTCAAGTTTGACAAGATATACAAAATCAATAAGTTGACAATAATCGACAGAATTTAATTAACCAGAGGTACACGGCTACTACTTACACTACTTGCAAGGCTGCTCCCTTTCCTCAACAATCAGCATTTTTTCATGGTGAAATAGGAGGGTGCTAGCCACAAAGGGCGGTCCAGCAAGCTACACAAGCATCAGTTAGTTAGCCCATGTTCAACTGATCAATTGTCACTAGAGGACGCTTTGCAGCCGCGGCAACCACCGCGTTGAGTTGGAAAGAAACCCTCTGGCTCTGGCTCTGGTTCTGGCAACGAGGCTGATGTTGCTTGCTGCCCCTCTGATCCTGCGAATAGTTTGGACTACGATCGGCAGGGATTGCTTCGGCTCCCTCGTTGCCATCTTCTGCTTCTTCAGTCTGAGTTGGTGGCTTCAGTGCGGGTAGGAGCTGGTAGTTTTCACTCAACAAAGTGTCCTGCTCAGGTGGCAGAGGAATCGAGCCAGGTGGAGCGACAGACTTGGGCAGCGGGATCTTGTTCCGGCTGCGTGCCAACTCAAGTAGAACCTGTGACATCAGCAAAATGACTTGTCAACCACCTATGCATACAGAGTACTTTGTGTCAGCTAGAGTTTTCAGGGATCTGATAAAACATAAAACAAGCACTTGACTTCAAAGCATAACCGCAAGAATTGTTCATAGCCTTTATCTACGCAAGATCCTGTTTAGTTGCACTTACCGGCTAACCCACAAGTGACTACACTTGTGAGTGACCCTCAATCTCTAATATCTTTGTACTACCTAATAATATGATTCATCAACATTTTAGGTATATCTTCAGATGCCAGCCTCATACACATTGAGAATCATACCCTGTCCATTTCGTGTTTCTATATAAGTCCAGCCATGCATTCCAAAACATTGTTTTCTACTACGCTTAGCCTGTTCCTGGATATTTGGAGAGGTGGGAGTGGGGGGGCACCAGTGTACCAATGAATTGGTAGATAACCGTCGTTACGGAGTGGTATGTGGGGAATTTCAAATCGGAGGAGGAAACCCACAGGCCACAGCAGACACACCTGAGTTGGAATAGGCTAAGAGTTCTAATAATCTTTTGTTCCTTAAGTTAGGAATCGTTTCAACAGAACCTGCAGCAGTCACATTCTGCGGCATTTTAAGTCTGCATCCATCCAAGACACTGGTCTTGAGTCACCTATATAAAGGTCCCGTAGCTGCAGTGACTGATGCAAGTTATCAGTAAAGAAGTCTCCCCCTAATCTCTATTCGCCATTACCCCGTTACCTTTTTGATCTGTGATGGCTACAGCTACAGTGCCTCCTAGTCAATACCTCATCAGCCCTCTAACAGATGCTCTCCCTTCTATGTGATTATTTGACTTGACGCATCCATGAAGAGTGTCCAAATCTGAGGCTCTAACAGATGCTCTCCCTTCTATGTGATTATTTGACTTGACCCATCCATGAAGTGTGTCCAAATCTAACGGAAGTTATCGAGAATACACATAATATATCTAAAGAGTAAAACCAACTAATAAGGAAACCGAGCATTCTTGTTTCCAGTTGCAACAGAAGGCTGCTACGGTACAAAGCAGCATATCTGCACTAACAGAAGAGGGTATTTATTTCTTGCTTGCTTCTCTTCTCAAAGGTTTCATTATGCATATGGTTCCTTTGCGTATTAAAATCTTCATGTGGTTTGTCCACAAGCAAGTGATACTCACAAAGGACAACTTAATTAAGAGGCGATGGGTAGGCAATTCGCGGTGTTGTTTTTGTGATCAAGATGAAACAATACAACATTTATTTCTTGAATGCCCACTTGCCAAGTTACTTTGGAGAACGATTCATATAGCTTTTAATATTAATCCTCCAGTAGATATTGCGTCTCTGTTTGGGACGTGGTTAGCTGGGGTTGAACAGATTACTGCGGCTCGTATTCGGATTGGAATATGTGCGCTATTATGGGCTATATGGAACTGCAGGAATGATATGATTTTTAACAGACAACACACTTTAACTTTTTTGCAGGTTATCTTCAGAGCTACAGCTTGGATCCGTACGTGGTCCTTACTCACTCCTATGGACTCCAGGGAGCCTTTGGTTACTGGGTGCAACCAATCGGAGATGGTAGCTCGGGTTATATTCAACCGGTTCGGATGACGCTCGCATAACAGGATAGGAGTCTAGGGAGCTTATCCTTCTTATCACCGTATCGGTTGTCATTGTCCGCATGTATTTTTCCTTATTTTTACTTTGTTTTGCTCCGTTTGCGAGTACTCTTTGGATTGTTAATAAGAGGGCCGCATGCATCATCATGATGCAGAGGCCGGGGGCATGCCTCCATTTCCAAATGAAATAAAATATGGAACTACTAGTGGCACATGATTCCTAAGATTTTGGACCCTTCAGCAGATAAGCATTCATCAACTTTCCAAATAAGGCATGGGTTCAGGTGAGGATTCCTAATAACACATGGACTAAATTGAATGTCAATCTTTTCTGCAACTGGCCTCTCCTTCCATCCTCTGCTACTAGCAGCAACCAGGGATGTAACTGTCAGCACTCCCTGATTACCCACCAAACTGGCAAAAGTTCGGTCGGTTCCAACCTCCTACAGGATAAAGGAGTCATCTTGGTCCTCATGGTAGGGTGCTGAAGTACTACTACTTGAGAAGTTGAGAATTTGGAAATGAATCTGCGTTTAAATCTCACATTCCCTCCTATGCTTTCCTTATAATTTCAGTATAACACCGACTGATATGTTGGTCCCTCGGACCGCTACAAGTGGATAAAATGACATTTAGTTAGCTGAAGGATTCGAAACCGAATCTCTTCGTTGCGGATGGTGGCTTCTAACCACCATGTCTGAAGCTTTGATTGTTGTGTTCTTATCCAACAATGCATTCTATTAATAAATCCACCCTTATTTCAAATTTAATTTTCCTAATAAATATCTCTCAGCCAAGAAGCAGCAATTAACTGAAATCTCAACAGAGCACATTATTTCTTGTATGGAGATTATTTCTTCCGCGACACATCTGCACATCCTCTATTATGCTCACTGTTTCCCCAACTGGAGTCCACAACATTACTCCCTCTGAATCCGATAGGTTCATAGGAAATTGTTTCGTCATTCACCAATTGAAGAAGGTAGCACCAGAGCCGTTGAGCGTCGTGCACCAGGTCGTATAATGAAGCTACGAAACCTAGTAAATTTCAGAATCTAACAAGGATAATATACTAGAGTTTTTTGGTGAGATTGGTGGTACTCGTACCTCGCGGGGCGGCGGCTGGGAGAAGGAGAAGTTGACCTTGGCCTGGATGGCGAGGCGGACGTCGTCGGCGTCGAGCTGGGGCTTGGCTGCGTGGTCGGCGTAGACCTGGGCGTCGCCGAGCACGTCGCCGACGTAGCGGTAGGCCAGGTCCAGGAACTGGTGCACGACGCGCGGCTCGTACTCGCCCTCGCCGAGCCCCATCGACCGGAGGAGCTCCCGCACCACGCGCGCGTCGCGAGGCTCGTCCGGGCCGGAGGCTCCTCCCGCAGCACGCCGCCGCGGACGGAACCGATAGCCGCACGCCGCCGCTATCCATGCTCTGTGTCTTGTCTGGTCGGGGGTTTCGGGGAACGAATCAGAGGGTTCGATATTATACAAAACGGGAGAGTTGCATTGCTGTCAACAAAGACGCTTTGGCCGAGTGGTTAAGGCGTGTGCCTGCTAAGTACATGGGGTTTCCCCGCGAGAGTTCGAATCTCTCAGGCGTCGATGTTTTTAAGTTTCTTCTATTTCTTTGTGCCTTATTTCATTCTGCTCCATTTTTTCTGTCTTATTTATTTATTTTCCGTGAAAAGGTTTTTCTTTAACTCCAAGGCATCGTTTAAAAAAAATCTCTGACACATTTCTCTATACTCAAGTTTTTTTTACTCTTTTTTCTCTGCCTTATTTCATTCTACTCCATTTTTCCCTTACTCTTTTTTCTCTGTCTTATTTCATTCTACTCCATTTTTCTTTCTATTCTATCTACTCTATTTTCTCACTGTCTTATTTCTTCTTTTCATGAATGATTTTTTTTACTCCAAGGCGTCAACATTTTTTATTTTTCATTCTTTGGCTTATTTCTCTACTAGCAAAAGAGTCTGTGCGTCGCAATAGAAGAAGAAAATACCGCACGGCCCTAGCCCAGTAACCACAACTAAGACCCCAATAGGTCTTGCCGAGGTTATTGACGGTTTCCTTCGTCTTCATTTTGGCTTTAATGAGATGTTCATTGCAATCCGGATCGGTGTCGGTACGAAAGAAATATGGATCGTGTGCTATTAACTAAGGTTGCATCCTAAATAGCATTTAAAACATTTAACAGGTAAAATAACATCATATTCTACATATTTTTCTAATCAAATTTCATGTATAACATGTTAAAATTGGAGTTAGAGTTTAAAAAATGCAGGTACTTCAAAAAACTATTATTTGTTATAAATGGACGGGAGGTTAATTATATAAATGTCAGTGATTTTCCGCTAAAACAAAAAAATGATTCATTTTCTGTCACTTAATGGTGGAGTGCGGGTTATTTACCAGAAAAGTGAGGGGGCAGTAAAGACGGTTCGTTTTCTCACTTAAATATGGATGGCGGGTTAATTCACTGAAAACAGAGAGGGTCTCTATAAAAATTGCTGACGGTGAATGGGCAAAAGCACTTCATACTTTATTAGTAGGTAAGATACTCAAGTTTTTATACTCTAAAATTGACGCATGATGGTGTGTTCTTATGTTTTGTTGTAGCTACTTGCCGGTATCAACATGTCTTTCTTGTTAGAATTTTAACAATTATTTTAGTGGTAGGCTGAAACATCATAGATTATGTTTCCTTTGTAAGAATTACAATATTTTTTGCGGGGTAAAACATTACAATATTACAAGCCCATACTCCAAGGCAATATATTTTAAATTTTAATTCCCTGGCTTATATCTTTATACTCAAGTTTTTCTTAACTTCAAAATTGACTCATGCCGAGCAGGGGTGGTTGGACGGGCTGGCATGAGCTCGGCGTGTAGGGGTGGGAACAACAACAAGGGAAAGTTCCCTCCCACCAAGCTCGGGCTGGTTTTCTGTATACGCAAAAACAGAAGAATGATATTCTACATATGCGGTTTGGGAGGCTGGTGTGCAATTTACTGCAAAATAAAATTACAGTACGCCCGGTTTTACAGTATCTGACCTGAATGTTTGTTTGTTTTTTGCGCCGAAACACTACAACGATAGTTATTTTTATTCTTTTACGGTATGTACTAGAGTTCCTCTAAGCCAAACAATGCTCCATGCTATGAACACGACCGGTGATGCACCACGGTATGTCATAACTGATGTGGTTGCTCCGCCTAGCTTGGTGATACTTTGTGCTGGCTCAAGAAGCTTGCAATGCATCAGCTCGCCTCCCACGGAGTGTTTGTAGCTGGCATGGAAATGAAAAAAGCGTCTATAAAATTAGAAGAGAGGCTATGTTTTCAAGGTGGTTTTGTGCAAAATATTGCCACATGGTGATAGTCAACCTACGACGTACTCCTTCCATCATTGAGAAAGTGTACTTCCAACTTTGTTGGAAAGTCAAATTTTTTATGTTTGACCGTATTTATACAATAATATATCAACATTTATGCCATCAAATTAGTAGCATTAGATTCCTGATAAAATATATTTTCGTCATATACCTATTTGAATTCACAAGCATTGATATATTTTTGCACAAACCCGGTCAAACTTTAAGATAGCTTAACCCTTGAACAAAGTTGGAAGTGCATTATTTCAAAAACGGAGGGAGTATATGTAAATCAAATCTGATACAAACTTATAATTTTATAAGAATTAAGACTTCAATAGTAACTATTATTTTCATTCACCAAGAACTTCATTTGTTTCTAAATATAAGACCTTTGAGAGGTTTCAATATGGACTACATATGGAGCATAATGAGTAAATCTACACTTTAAAATATATCTACATATATTCGTATGTAAATTGGAATCTCTAAAATGGTTTGTATTTAGAAACGGAGAGAGTGGCTATTTTTTGGCGGTTATGAGAAACTTGTGTTTAGGGGTTATGAACCCGCAATCCTCCTTCCTCCCCTACAGCGCCCAGGGGCTGCTCGGGCGCCGGCCGCGGCCACGGGGAGGACCACCCACCCCCTGCGGACGGAAGTGATGCTTCCGACGCGAGCCTTGTCGTGTTCCCGGCTTCGTCCCCCCGCTCCCCTGCTGGTATTCTTCCCTACATCTCCAGTGAGCTATCCACCGAGATCGTCTCCTCACCTGCTACCCCACCTTCGCCGGATGCTCCTGCTCCTCCCGTGGAGGTTGGGACGGTTCCGAAAGGGGATCCCACCCATTCCTCTCCCCGCGCCACCCCGGGTCGGGCGGACCTAGGGACCCCGGCGCCGATGGCTCTGATCCCGGCCGCGCCCGCCTCTTCGCCGACCCGCCCCTCGACCTCCTCGTGCATCGCCCTGGGTGGGGTGTCGACGGTGGTGGTCACCCCGGTGGCCGCCCCTCCACTCCCGCCTCGGTCTGCGGCGTACTCTAGGAGGGGCCGGTCGACCTCGACCCCGGTGACCTCCTCGCGACGCAGCGCTCGGATTGAGGCGGCCAGACCGGCGGGCAGCCCGGCTCTTCCCATCCCTGAGCGTGCTGCTCTCCGGGCCGCTTCCCGGAACCTCGAGTTAGGTACCCCATCCATTCCGACCACCTCTGCTACCTGTTCCTTCTCTGCGTTGGAGTCGATTCCGCTTGGCCGCCTCGCTAAGGTGGCAGCGGACTCGGCCATAGTGTTCAGGGGGGAGGTTTCCCCCCCTCTAGTTCAGATCGAGGCAATACGTGCGCGGGAACTCCTTGATGGCCATCTGGCTGAGGCCCGCGCACGTCTCTCCTCCTCCTTGGCCACCCCTACCGGGGCTGTTCCGAGCGTCGGCCCTCTCGCAGCGGTCGCCCCGGGTGAGATCCAGGGCCGCACCCGCGCGCGTACTGCAGCCCTCCGCGCCCAGAGCGCCTCACGTGTCTTGGGGTCAAGCAGCCCCCCGATGGATGCGTGATGCGGACCATCTTCTGGAACATCCGCGGTTTCGGCCAAGCTGGTCAGCGCCGCCAACTCATCGACTACATGCGAACCGAGCGAATCGACATCGTGGCAATCCAAGAAACGATGCGGACTGAATTCTCCTTGTCGGAACTTGAGCATCTAAGCTCCAACTTGTTTGCTTGGCATTGGCTCCCTTCTAGTGGGAGTACGGGCCACTCAGGTGGCATCCTCCTAGGCGTGAAGGATGCCACCTTCGAGGTAGGAAGCATGGACCGAGGAGAGTTCTTCCTTAGCATGGAGGTGTTTGAGCGGGCTCTCAATTTCAAATGGGAAATCATCACGGTTTATGGCCCTGCCGATCACCGTCGATCTGAGGCCTTCCTCGTGGAGCTCCGTAGGAAGGTAGCCTCCGCCCAGCTACCAGTGGTAGTGGGCGGTGATTTCAACCTCATCAGGACGGAAGAAGACAAGAGCAATAATTTAGTGAATTTCCCTCGCATGCAAATGTTCAATGACTACATTGCTGACATGGGGTTGCGCGAGCTCGATCGAGTCAGGGCGAGATTCACTTGGACTAACCGCCGGGTTGATCCGACTCACTCGGTCCTCGATCGGGTCTTCGTCTCCCCTGAGTGGGACATTCGTTGCCCCCTAGCGTCGCTTCAGGCGATTACGCGGATTGGCTCAGACCACGTCCCCCTTCTTCTCTCTTTGGAGAATGTGTTGGGGAACGTAGTAATTTCAAAAAAATTCCTACGCACACGCAAGATCATGGTGATGCATAGCAACGAGAGGGGGAGAGTGTGATCTACGTACCCTTGTAGATCGACAACGGAAGCGTTAACTTGGTTGATGTAGTCGTACGTCTCCACGGCCCGACCGATCAAGCACCGAAACTACGGCACCTCCGAGTTCTAGCACACGTTAAGCTCGATGACGATCCCCGAACTCCGATCCAGCAAAGTGTCGGGGAAGAGTTCCGTCAGCACGACGGCGTGGTGACGATCTTGATGTACTACCGTCGCAGGGCTTCGCCTAAGCACCGCTACAATATTATCGAGGATTATGGTGGAAGGGGGCACCGCACACGGCTAAGAATATGATCACGTGGATCAACTTGTGTGTCTTGGGGTGCCCCCTGCCCCCGTATATAAAGGATCAAGGGGAGGAGGCCGGCCGGCCCCTATGGCGCGCCAAGGAGGAGTCCTCCTCCTAGTAGGAGTAGGACTCCTACTAGGAGGGGGAAAGAAGTGGGGAGGGAGAAGGAAAGGGGGGCGCCGCCCCCTCTCCTAGTCCAATTCGGACCAGGGGGGAGGAGGCGCGCGGCCCACCTTTGGCTGCCCCTCTCTCTCTCCACTAAGGCCCATATGGCCCATTACTCTTCCCGGGGGGTTCCGGTAACCCT